CTACAAACTCTGTCTCTACTTTTAAATCTTCAAACCCATCTTTTCAGGATTGCATACCCTTCATCGTGACTCCATCTTTTTTTTTTTTTACCTTGTTTAGCTTTTATACTTGTTCTTTATTTTTCAATTACCTTTATGTTTTTATTTTGTTGTACTAATGTAAGGTGACCTTGATGATCTTTAATGGTGCCTAAAAATAAAATCCATCCATCTTCTTCCACTTCCACGGGTCGCGGGGGCAGCAGCCCAAGCAGAGAGGCCCAGACCTCCCTCTCCCCAGCCACCTCCTCCAGCTCCACACCAAGGCGTTCCCGTAGCAATGGGCCAAACACCCCACACTCCTGGAGCACCATGCTATAATAAAATGTATTATTATTATTACTTCCTGTGTGTCATCCTTTAGATTCCTTTCAGCCACGTCCCCCAGGTGTGTCCTCTCTGCCCTGATTCTGCGTCTCCCTCTGGTCTTTGTCACATCGTCATCACACCTTCCCCATGTGTGTGCACTGTTTCTTTGTTTAGCAACCAGTAAGTTCTCGACTCTAGTTTAGTCCGAGTTTTCTGTGGCTTTTGCATTTTGTTCTCTAAGTTCCACCAATAAACCCGTCTGAGGGAAGTTCCTCTCCGTGTCCTCTGAAAGCTGCCAACCACACAATGACACGTGACAAATAATGCAGTTTATTTTATGCTTTGTAAGCAGACAGGAGAAAACTGATTTTAAAAAGAGCAACTTTTGATGTTTACAGTATTTATAAAACAAAGTACAGGTTTTATTATACAAGCAGAACGTCACATGACTGTATTAACACTCTGCCAGCTGTTAGACCCTCCCCACACATACTTCATATGTTCAACACTCAAAATCAAAACCTTTCTGCCAGCAGCCGCACCTGCTACAGTGAGCAGAGGGACACTGAAGAGCCATGGGACACTAACCAGAACCCAGGGTACAGCGGTTTGCTGAAGGTGGTGTGGAAGGTGTAAAGATGGATTGGTGAGCCGGAAGAAATTCTGTAGAAGGTCAGAGTACCAGCAGGCCAATCCACATACACCGCTACTCTGTGAGAGGCAGAGGAAGAGGAAGAGGAGGGGATGGCTGTTTCTCTGTTATTGTGCCAAACCGAGAAACTTTCCTCTTCAGCACACCTCAGACTCCAGGAGTGATCATTCCCTCCAAACCTGCAGTCATAACTGTTTCCTCTCCTTCTGACGCTCCTGTAACTCACTGCTATAAAAACAAACCCTTTCCACTCGACCTCCCAGTAACAGCGACCAGTCAGCCCAGTGGTACATAGCAGCTGAAGCCAGACGTCAAACCTCTCTGGATGAACAGAATAAGGCTGCTTCTCTGTCACTGCCGTCACCTGCCTGTTGTTGCCTGACAGTTTGAGTTTCCTGTTTGCTGTGTTTGCATCCAGTGCAAGTTCACAGAAATCTGAGAGTGGGAGACAAACAAAGCATCATTAACACCAGACTGACAGCGATGTTTAAATCAATACAATCTAAAAAGTTACTATTGGGATATAAACTGTCTGGTCATTTAATCATTTTCTTTTTATTTCTGTTGTTGATGCTAGAAAAGCATCACTGGTTGTGAAAAA